TCTTCCTTTGTATTTCCACACCTGAAAGCTCAACCTCAGTTGCCCTTTCTGTTATCTACATGTGTTCTGTTGTACGTAGGGTTTTGGAGGCCTGCTATTTCAGAAGTGGATGGCCAATCCTTCTTCCTAGTCTGTCTTAATCTGAATGTTCAGATTTAGAGGCGTATCAGACAGAACAGCATTTTACAGAAAAGTGAAAGATAAATCCCTTATTGTAGAGTTAACCATTCGTATCAACGTTGTCCCTCTCCTTGGCACATGTGTCTTTACCCACTTATTTCCCTGCTCCACCATCCACCAGGCAGGATACCCATCCACTTCTACCCACTCCCTTCAACATCCACCTCCCATTGTTCCCCCCTTTGATCTGATAGCTTATATCTGAAGCTTCCTTGGCTTCCGTGATTCCAAATACGTCGACTTCAGACAGTTTCTTATGATGTGACCAGTGTCTCTTAAGTTCAGTGGCAATGCTTCTGAGCAAAGGTGATGTGTCCTCTAGAGCGGGTGTGTAGATAGGTTTGTAAATATGCGGTTAGTCTGGAGAATGAAAGGAAAGATGAGATGTTGTAGGGTGGCTCTGGGAAAGATTTTTTCTTTCTGAAAAAAGGAGAAGACCAGGGAGTGACTGACTCTCTGGCCCATCTGCCACCTGCTCTCTTATTTTACTAAATGCTATCTATTGTTTGTTGTTGTTGACTATGCATGTATGTATTTTCACAGTGAAACACACCAACATCTTGTGATGATGAATAGCACTGCTGTGAAAATTGGTGTACAAGTCTTTGTTTGTTCCTCAGTTCTCATTAGAGTATATCCCCAGCAGTGGAATAGCTGGGTCATATGGAATTTCTATGTTGAGATTTAGGAGTAAACACTAAACTGCCTTCCAGAGTGTTTGTACCATTTTATAATTCCACCAACAATGTGCAAGAGTTCCTGTTTCACCACGTCCTTTCCAGCATTTGTTACTTTCCATCCTGTTACACTTTCTAGCTGCTACTGGAGTGAGATGGTATCTCATTGTGGTTTTTAATCTCTCTTATTGCCACTGATTTTGAGCATTTTATTTTTATTTTGAGCATTTCTTCATGTGTCTGTTGGCCATCCAAATAACTTCCTTTCTGAAAGTCTTTCCATATCTCTTGCCCGTTTTGTAATTGTGTTATCAGTCTTTTTCTTTTGGAAGCCCCGTTGATGTTGTTGTTAAGTGCCACAGAGTCATAGACAATTCATAGCAACCCTATGAATAAAAGACCTGATCACTTTTATAACTTTCGTCATTTCTCCATGTTCAGTTTCCAGGGGCAAGTTCTTTCTGAAGTGAAAGTTCTTTCTTTTTACAAGCCTGTTTTAATCGAGAAGCTCCACCAAACACTGTCCACCATAAGTTACCATTATTGCATTTGACATATCAGTGTCACAGTGTTTAGCATCATAGCCACCGTTTTCCCATTTGATAGGTTTTGTTTCCTTATCAAATATTAGTTGACCATAGATAAGTGGATCCATTTCTGGGTTCTCAATTCTGTTCCATTGTTCTATGTGTGTGTTGTTGTACCAGTACCATGCTGTTTTGGCTGCTACCACGGTGTAATAGGTTTTGAGATGAGGGAGTGCTATGCCTCCCACTTCATTTTTGGTTTTTCAGAAGTGCTTTGCTTATTCGGAATCTCTTTCCTCTCCAAATAAACTTGACAGTTTCCATTTTGATATCCTTGATAAATGAATTTGGTATCTGTATTGGGATGACATTGAACATGTAGATTGCTTTTGGTTGGATTGTAATTTTCACAATATTGAGTCTTTCTATCCATGAACAGGGAACACTCTTCCATTCCCTTAGGTCTTTTATTGTGTCCCACAGAAATGTTTTGTTGTTTTCTTTGTATAGGTCTTTTGTGTCTCTGGTTAGATTCACTTCCTAGTATCTCAGTTTGTAGTTAGCCATCGTAAATGTTCTTGTTTTCTTCATTTTCTTCTCTGAGTTATCTTTGTTACTATAGAGGAATCCCAATGATTTTTTGGATATTGATTTTATATTCTTCACTCTACTAAATTGGTCTACTAGCTCTAACAAGGTTTTTTTGTTTGTTTGTTTTTTTGTTGTTATTGTTGAGTCCTTGAGGTTTTCTGTGTACACTATCATATCTTCTATATATAGCCATAGTTTAACCATCTTTTCATAGCCAATCTGGATGCCTTTTATTTCCTTCTCTTGTGCTATTGCCCTAGCAAGCACTTCCAATACAATTTAAAAGAAGTAGTGATTACTTTTCCATCTCTTTGAAAAATGATGACAGGAACTGGATTAGGATTGCATATCTATATATTTCATTTGATAGCCTTGGCGCTTTCACAATGTTAAGCCTTGTGATCTATGTTGGTGTTGTTATTGTGTACAGTAGGGTCAGAACTAACTCATAGTTGATCCTCTAGTGGGTTTTAAGAGGCAGTAAATTCCATGGGAAGAGGCTGCCCATTTTTCTCCTGTGCTGCAGCTAGTGCATTTTAATTTCATGCCTTCAGATTGACAGTGCAACTCCTAACCATTAAGCCACAAGAGCTCCCATGAATATGATATATTCTTCCTTTACTGTGTATCTTTTTTTGTTTCTCAGTGGAACATGGGAACACTGCATGGTTTAAAATCAGGAAGGGTGTGCATCAGGTTTGTATAGTTATCAATCTAGGAACTCTGGTGGCCTAGTGGTAAGAAGCTGCATTACAATCCTGAAGGCACATGATTAGAATACATCAGCTGCTCCATGAGACAAGGATGGACAATCTCCTCCCAGGTGATCTCTGAAATCTGCTAGAGAGTCAGCTATGGGTTGGTTCCAACCCTAAAATACACAATGACAACAACAACATTCCATCTGTATGTTGAGCAAATTATTTGTGAAGCTATACTATAGGTCAAGGACTGCAGCCTTCAATATGGATTGAAGCTCAACATAAAAACAAACAGAAAAACCAAAAAAACAAACCCCACAAAGATTCTCATTAGTGGGCTGATTGGTAGCATCATGATGGATGATGAAGAGATTGAGATTGTTGACAGCTTCAGTTTGCTTGGCTCTATAATCAACACTCTTGGTACCATCAGCCAGGAAATTAAAAGACAAATTGCATTGGGAAAGTCTGCTGTCAGAGACCTCTCCAAGGTACTGAGAGACAGCGATGTCAGTCTGGAGACTAAGGTGCACCTGATCTAGGCCATGGCTTTTTCAATTACTTGCTATGCATCAGAGAGCTGGACACAGACTAGGGATGCTAGAAGGAGAGTTGATACCTTTGAGCTTTGGTGCTGGAGAAGAGTACTGAATGACCTGCTGGGAGAACAAATGAGTTCATCCTGGAGAGGGTGAAGCCAGGCTGCTCCCTGAAGGCAAAGATTCTAAAGCTTCATCTGACATACTTTGGGCATGTTGTAAGGTGAGATCAGTCCTTGGAGATGGACATCATGCTTGGGAGGATGAAGGGACAGCACATGAGAGGAAGAACCTCAATGAGATGGACTTATTCAGTCACTGGGGTAATGGGGATAAGCGTGTCAGAGACAATAAGATTGGCAAGGGATAGAACAGAGTTTAGGGCTGTTGTACATAGGGTTGCTATGAGTCGCAAGTGACTTCATGGCACATAACAACAACAATAATAATATATGAAGAGAAATACAGGGTCAGGATCAGAGGAAGATTCATCAACAACCTATGTTATGTAGAGGACACTGCCTCACTTGCTGAAACTGAGAAGGCCTTAAAACTTGAAATGCTTGCTGCAGAAGATCAAGGACTTAAATATGGATTACATATCAAAATAAAGAAAACAAATGTCCTTACCACTGGGACAACAGGCAACATCATAAAAAATGGAAAAAGAATAAAAACTCAATAATTTAATCTTACTTGGATCCACAATCAAAACTTTTGGTACCAGCAGCCAGGAAATTAGATGGTGTATCGTATTGTCTACTGTCAGGGACCTCTCCAAGTTATTGAGGAACAATTATGTTAGTTTGCGGAATAACGTGTACCTAGATCAGGCCATGGTCTTTTTAAAATCACTTGCCATGCATCTGAGAGCTGGACAATGAAGAAGGATGCAGAAGAATCATTGATGCCTTTGAGCTGTGATGTTGGAGAAGAGTGATGACTGTCCCATGGAATGCCAAAAGAAAGAACAGATACATCTTGGAGGAAGTTCATCCTGAGTGCTTCTTGGAGGCTAGAGTGGAAAACCTTTATCTCTCATACTTTGGACATGCTGCTAGGAAAGGATATTCCTTGAAAAGAGGGATAATGCCTAGAAAAGTGAAGGATTAATGAAAGAGAGAAGATCCCCAATGAGATGAATTGACACAATGATTACAACAATGGGCTCGAATGTATCAGAGATGATGAAGATGGCATAGGATAGGACAGGGTTCGGGTCTGTTGTTGGTAGGGTCACTATGAGTCATGAACCACTGAACTTGATGGTTCCTAACAATAAGAACAGCAACAACAACTTCTTGTTTCTGGTGGTGGTTTGTAGGATTTTTGTGTCTGTGGTTAGATTTTTTCCCCTAAGTATTTCATCTTTTGAATGACTTTGTAAATAGTATTGTTTTTATTTCCTTTTCAGAATTCTTTTTGTGACTGTAGAGAACATGAACTGAGTTTTATTGCTTTTGTACCCTGACATTTTGTGAACTGGTCAGCTAGATCTGTTTATTCTTGTAGAGATTCTTTTTTTAAAAATATATTTTCCTGGGATTTCACATTTGTTTATTTTTATTCATAATCTGTTTTTCAATACAATTTACATCCTCATCCCCATTCCCATCCTGATTATACAGATGCTAGTGGCAGAAAGGCCTGGAATAAATACATCTATGGGAGAGGGTAAGAGGCAAAGCTGTGAAGCTATGTGCATGCACAGCTTCTAAGAGGGAGAGGGGGACAGTGTCTCGGGAATAAACTCAAGGTAATTAGAAGGTTTCAGCTAAAGTTTGTTCAGTCATCCTTGTCTTTTGCTCCATGTTTCTGGATGCGTGTGAACTCAGTGTAATTGAAATTCCCCTTTCTGTCCATTAGAGCTTCTCTGTAGAGCTCGTCCACTTCCTCGTCCATAGAGTGGTCCCCCATGGTGGTCAGCAGCTCTCTCAGGTAGTCTTCCTGAATGGTGCCTGTTGCTTCTTCATCAAAGCAGAAAAAAATATTTCTGATGACTTCCTCTGGATCTGTCCCATTGAGTTTTTTCCTGAACATCGTGGGGAACATGGTGAGGTTGATGGGCCCTGGAGCCTCATTCATCATGGCTTCCAGGTACTTATCCGTCGAGTTCTTCCCTAGAGAGGTCAGCACATCATGCAAGTTTTCCTTGTCGAAGAAGCCATCTCTGTTCTGGTCAATCATGCTGAAGGCCTCTTTGAACTCCTGAATCTGAGACTGGTTAAACATGGCAAACACGTTGGATGTTGTGTGCTGAGGGTGCTTCTTGATGGTCTTGGTCTTGGCCTTTTTGCTTGACGTAGTGGCTGTTTAATCCTCCAGATGCCTGGACTGGGCTACACTGCATGAGGCGAAGAAGACCTCTCTTAGAGATTCTTAAGGATTTTCTGTACATAATGCCCTTTCCCATTAAGTAGAGATAGTTTTATTTCCTCTTGTCAACTTGGATGCCTTTTCTTGCCTTACTACTTTGACTAAGAGTTCCAATACAATAGTGAATCAAATCTTTGTCTGGATTTCCATTTAAAAGGAGAAGCCTTCAATTTCTCTCCTCTGACAGTAATGTTGGGCACAAGTTTTGCATATATGCTTTAACTATATTGAGGAATTTCCTTTTTATTCATTTTTTATTGACAGATTTTATCAGGAAAGGGTGTTAACAGTTTTCAAATGCCCTTACTACATCTAATGATATGATCATCTGGCTCTTTTCCTTTGCTTTATTAGTGTTGTGTATTACAGTGATTGTTTTTCTACTGTTGAACCATCCTTGCATGGTATGAATCCCACTTGATCATGATAAATTAATCTTTTATATGATGTTAGGTAGGATTTTTATAGAAGTTTAGCAGTGCTTATTTTTTAATTTTCAAGTGAAATCTAGACATTTTAAATATCATAATGTAACTCTGGAAATCAGAGACCATCTCAAAAGAAAACATCATAATAGATATTCAACAGATTGAAGAAAGAATTGAAGATAGAGAAAGGACTTAAACTACCAATTACTTCTTGTTTGGATCAATAACCAATGCCTTGGCATCAGTGGTCAGGAGATTAGGAGCCATATTGCCTTAGGCAAGGCTGCTCTTAAGGGCTTTTTCAAGATATTTAAAGACAATGATGTCATCCTGAAGACTAAGGTGTGTCTGATTCAGGCAAAGATCTTTCCAATCACCTGCTGCTTTTGAGTAAGAAGTAAAGCCTCTGGTCTCCAAATCTTTTCCAATCATAACACATCTTTGGGTATGCACATTGCCCTTTCAATTAATTCTCCATTGTATGTGTTAAGCCTTTCTCTGTTCTTATTCCCCTAAGTATTTTCTTCCTCAGTTTCCTCCTTCCCAGGGTTTTTGGTTTGTCAGTTGCTTGCCCTGTATCCCACCCCTTGCTTCTGGGGACTACAGGTAACTCTTTCTTGCCTTTAGCTTCTTTCAATAGGCACTGTCTGCCCATAGTGCTGATCTAGCCTGAAGAGTAAAACAAAGGTAAACCTCTTTTCTGGCCTCTTAGGGAATCACTAGACAGGTCAAAACATCAAGTCAACATTTCATGAAGATTGTGTTGCTCTTCTACCCATGGAAGATAAAGGATGCACAAGGGATGCAGGCTACTATCTGCAGGCACACCACCCATCTGAAGAATGAGAGATGCTAGGTAAGTAAGAACTCCACAATACTTTTTTACTGACATTTAGCACCTGCTTTTTGCATTAAGTACTTCCTTGTGCCTGTAATCCCCCCTCCTCACTAAAGTTCAGAGTTCAAAAAAAGTTGATTCTTCCAGATTAATGTTGTTTCAATGCAGACATCTATTCCTGGCATTCCCTACTCTATTATTTTCCATGGGAGCACTGGTGGCCCAGTGGTTAGGAGTGTTATCAACGCAAAGGCACATGGTTTGAATCCACCAGATACTCCATGGAAGAAAGATAAAAATGTTCATCCTGTGCAGTTTACAGCCTCTAAAAACTTGCTGGCGGGCATGCTATGAGTTGGTTTTGATCCAAAATCACATCACAATATTCCATTATGTCACTTTATTACTACCTTAAAGAGTATTGAAATAACTGCTCCTGAATTCTGTCCAGGATTTATAGAAACATTTAAAGAGATTGACAGAATGAAGTGTGTCTACTCCATCTTCCGTGGAACTGCAAATGAATTGTTTCTTTTTAGATTTAAGAATAGTTGACATTTCTGCACACCACTGTATACAACTTTGTGTGGATTTCCCATTGTTTTTCCAATTTCACTAATGTATAACTGCCTTTTGAAGGAAAACATTCTTTTAGGGATTCCTAAATAAATTATTTTTATCTTTGTTCCTTAAATATGCATTGACACATAACCAAGCCCTACACTGCTTATGCTCACAGTGTTTAAACAGCTCTAAAAACCAAATTTATTAACTAAATGCAAGCAAAAGGACAAAATAAGAATGGAAATAAACATCATTAATTTAGTGAGACAGATGATGATGATGATTGTTGAAGCTATTCAGACCCTGAATTGTAGTGGACAATTGACTGTGATATGGGCTCTTTTGTCTCATCAAAGCTCTCATACTGTGCAATGACTCAATTCTCCCACTACTTTCTCTATTTAAGCCCCTGTATCACTCTGAAGTTTCCATTTTTACTATGTGCTTGTGACATCATTTGGCCTATCTTTAACTCAAAGCACCATTTAGATGTGAAAACTGCCTTCCTTTTCCTTACAGGTCCAAGGTCATTAAAATAGTAGTAATTAGTGCCAATGGTACTGTCAATGCAATTAGGACCTTTGACGCTGAAATTTTAAAGCAGAACTTAGTTACAAGGTGGTCAGTCAGATGATAGGGGATAAATTTATGTTAAAACTTTTATCCTGTGATCCACAGTGAGATAGAATGACACAGTAACTGCAATGATGAATTCGAGCACACTGGAGATTGTGAGGATGTGCAGGGTTGGGCAAGATTTTGCTCTGTTGTACATAGATTTGCTGTGAGTCAGAAATGATTTGATGGCACCTGACAACAATAACAACAGAGAGCTCTGCTGGTTTAATGGTAAAGAGTTGTGCTGCCATCCCAAAGGCTTGAGGTTCAAATCTACCAGCTGCTGTGTGGGAGAAAGACAGGTAATCTTCTTCTGTGCAATTTACTGCTTTTGAAAACCCAGTGGAGGGTTAACTCTAGGTAGATTCTGATTCAATGGTACATGACGACAACAACAACAATAACAAATGGAAACCCTAGTATTAAAGCAATGTGATTTTAGAAAATTTACAAAATTCCAAAAATATGTTTGGGATTACTTTTTGCAAAGTATCATAATATATCCTTTCAAAAAGAAATTATATCCATTTTATAAGTGAGGAAATTGAGACTTAGGTTAAGTAACTTGACCAAGAGCTCATAACTGATGAATAGTAGGTACAGCCACAGGATACATAGAGAATAGCCATGATTCTCTACCTTTAAAACATCAACTCAGAACCATAACTACTCTTTTTTCCCCGATAGTTTTTGCTCTAATCTGTTTTTTTTAAATAAAATAAGCAGAGGTTGCATGTAATCCTCCAAAGAAGGAATTGTTTTCCTATACCTTCAAGACAAGAATGAATGCTAGGGATATAGAACTGGATTCATTTCCATTACTTTATATTCTTGTCACTGCGTAGAAATCCATTTTCGCCCCTAGATGTGTTCAGTGTGCATACTGTTGTCATCTTTTCTGAGAAGCCTCTCTGCTTTCCCAGACATAATTAATTACCTCCTTTTCTGTTCAGCATACACTTCTCTTCTGCTCACGGCCCACATGTAGCACTTAATACACCATGCCATTCTTACCTTTTTTCCTTCTGAACTGTGAACTCTTTGAGGACAAAAATATTGTCTTCCTCATCTTTGCTGCATTGAAAGCACTAACTGTTCAGTATGTGTTTACTGGATTGGATATGGCATAATGTCATATAAAGATAGGCATACAAGGAAGACCTGTTAATGAGACTATTATTCAAATATATGCACCAGCAGCTAAAGCCTAAGAGGAGTAAATTGAAGATTTTTACCAAATTATGCAGTCCCCAATTGACCAAACATGCAATCAAGATGTGTTGATGATAAGCGGTGACTGGAATGCAAAAATTGGAAACAAAGAAATAATGTTAGTCAGAAAGCATGAACTAACTAGGTAACAGAAATTAGGCTGGTGATAGAATGATAGGATTAAAAAAATTATTAAATAAATCATACTGGTTTATTTACACACTTTGAATACATTGTTTTTAACACAGGAATTTTCCCATTTCTTTCACTGCCTTCCCTGACCCATCAAATTGTATGACTCTATAATTAACATCCTCACCCCTCTGCTTCCACCTTCCCCACTTGGATCCTCATACAATGGTTTTATACAGTATTTGTCCTTATGGGACTGAGTTAGTTCACTCAGCATAATGCTCTCCAGGCCCTCCCAAGTTAGGTGGTAATTTACAAAATCCTTGCTCCTGCGTGCTGCGTAGTATACCATTGTGTGAATGTACTAATTTCTCAATCCATTCTATTGTGGCTGGACTTCTGGGCTGTTTCCATGCTCTTGCGATGGTGAATTATGCTGCATGAGGATCCAAAGAGGTAGGGAGGGTAGAAGCAGAGGGATGAGGCTGTGCAGGGGTGGAAGATTTAATCATGAGGGTCACACAATTTGATTAGGGGGAGGTTAGGGAAATGGGAAAGAACTGTTGTGAAAAAAAGTATTAGAATTTTGTAAATGAACTAGTATAGTTAAAAAAAGAGAAGATAACCTGAAAATTGCACTAGGGTACCAAGAAGCCAAAACAAAGGGAAGAGACATTGAAGTAAAAGAGCTGAATAGATTCAAAGAGCAGCTTGAGAAGATAAAGCAAAGCATTATAATAGAATGGGCAGAGAGCTGGAATTGGAAAATAAGAAGGGAAGAATTTTCTCAGTGTTTCTCAAACAGAAAAACAAATTCAAGACTCAAGTTTAATACTGAGAGATGCTATGGAAAAAATCTTGAATGACCCAAGAAGCATCAAAGGAAGATAGAGGGAATATGTAGAATCACTGTACCTAAAAGAATTGACCAACAATGAAATATTCTAGTAAGTACCATATGATCATCATTGCTATGCATCAGAGAGCTTGACAATGACTAGGGATTATAGGAGAATTGATGCCTTTGAGCTGTGATGCTGGAGAAGAGTATTGAATATACCATGGACTGCTAGGAGAACAGTTTCATCCTACAGAGGGTGAATCCAGACTGCTTGGAGGCAAGGAACTTTGTCTGACATAATTTAGACATGTTGCAAGGTGGGACCATTCTTGGAGAGGGACACCAAGTTTGGGAGGGTAGAGGGACAGCGCAAGAGGGAAAGACCCTCAGTGAGATGGGCTTATTCAGTGACTGGGGTAATGAGGGTACGTGTGTCAGAGACAATAATGTTGGCACAGGATAGAGAAGGGTTTAGGGCTGTAGTACATAAGGTTGCTATGAGTTGCAGGTGACTTGACTGCACATAACCACCACCACCACCATATGACCAAGAGCCAATGTTAGTGAAGAAAGACGCTCAAGCTGCACTGAAAGCACTGGTAAAGCACAAGGCCACAGGAATGGATGGGATACTGCTCGACAAGTTTCAGCTAATAGATGCCATTCTGGATGTGCTCACCAGTCAATGCCAGGAGATGTTGAAGGCGGCTGTACCCGACTCAAAAAACGTACAACATGTAGAAATTGCTCGTTCATAAAAATAAGATGGTATCTTATTTTTGACTCTGTGATCTTATATTTATCTCCTTGTCATCTTCATAGCAGAGAAGGATATTATGACCTCTTGCCTGAACAGTGGTTGAATGCTTCTGATTTGTCTTCTGATACCCACTTTATTGGGAGAAGTCTTAGTCATATATTAGTCCTCTCCCTTTCTTCTCTCCACTGGGCATCTACTTCATTCTCTTTTCTCTTGAGCCTATCTGTCCCTCATTTTTATCCTCAGACCATGTGCTAGTTGGTGTTAGTTAGCTGGGTATCACATTATCCCAAAACTTAGTG